AAGTTCAGGTCGACTGCATATATGGGCTACTCAACTTCCAGCTATTCGACTACTGATATTTAAAGAGTTTACTGTTCGTTTTTCATAATGTTTCGGGGTTTAAGTGGCAATTTCATTTTACCTTGCCCACTTTTTTTGACAGAGATATATGGCCACTGTTTGGACTTTGCAATCATGCTCCTGATGTTATCTATGTCGGTGATAATAGTATTAGCAAATAAATAACGCAAGTAAGTGTTGTTGTCAAATGTATTCCTAGCGATGTCCCCTTGCCATAGGCTGAAGATATTTGAATCAGGATGATTTGAACTGATGGAGGTTATATGACGAAGGAAAATTTTTAGGTGATAATGTTTAGTCCGGGATGTAAAATGTAGAGATTTTGTGGAGATAATTTTAACAGAGAAGACATTTTTCTTCACAGGTGGCTCGGAATGTACAAAGCGAATGATGGAACATGAAGATTCAAAATTATGGTATTTGTTAATAGGTTAATATTAAGGCAGGTTAAGTAAAGTTTAGTTCGGGTTTCATGTTTAGGTGAGGGAGGTTGGAGAGAGGGCCTGGAGACGGATGCGCTAGTCACTGGCTTAGTTCACGGTCACCCAGCGTGTATCGTCATCGTTCATGCTCAACAAAACCAAAATGGCTAAACAAGGACGAAACAAGAAACAGGATCTACTAGTTTGGGTGTCTTATACAAATGGATTGCATAAAGTGCATTGTTAGATAACACACTACTTCCTGGTGAACAATTCTCACCCCAACGTGTTTAGTGATGCCATGCCCCAGGGTCGGACAATAGTTGACAAAAGGATGTGCATGTTGGCCACAGTAGCGTTTTTGTTAGTGGTAGTGGTAGTTTGATCCAAATAGGAAATATATGGATGCATAGTTTGAGGAGACTTTGTTATATAAAACCATTTAATGATCAAAGACAATAATAGATAATGAGTTAGAGGGCCGAGGTTGAATCACCATGTGGGGGGGGGGAGGAGGTGATGGTAGTAGGAGCAAATCCCTGCGCTGTGGGGGAGGAGGTGTCTGGGCTGCCCTCTGCAATTCGTAGCACGATGCAGAGGTTTGCATATATTTAGTTACTCTTAAAATATAATTTTTAATGGGAATATATCGTAATCTTCGTCGATGATGTGTTGAAATATTGAAATATGATACTTCAGTGGTGCCTTAATAATCGTCAACCTGCACACTTCTGTCATGACCTGACGAGGCTACACCCGCCCTATACTTCGCTCTCCTGTGGCCTAGTTTATGACCCTGCAAATGATATCATGCTTTATTATAATAGGAATTGGTTTTTATGGTATGACCCTGTTGCTGAATGCTGTAAAACTGCGATATTTGATTAAGTAAACTGCTACTTCACTATAATAAGAAAAACATTACACCACATAACATACTACCATCATATGAATGTTATTTGACTGGTCCTAAGCATGAATGCACGCCTTATGAATGGCTTTTCATATGTGCTTATACAGCATAAACCATGGATGTTATATATACATTAAGTAAATATCATTGGTTCCCTGTAAGTGAGACCATGCGAAAACTACTTAATAAATACGAGGCATAAGAGACCCGAATAGACATTCGAAATAATGTGGATAGTTTTAGGCTTTATCATGAGTGTAGTTTGAGTGGAGGATTGTGGTGGTGGTGCTCACATAATACCTCAGAACCGTCAGGTGTCATTCAAACAAATATCGAACTTTGTATTAGTCAATAAGATAATAGTTACCTATTCGGTTACGTTACCTGGAGGGCTTAGACATAACATATGAAATCTACCCAACGTCATTATACCCACCTACTCACATTTAACATAATGCCTGTTTATCCATATATGACTTCTGCGATGCTATTGCATATTCTCTTATCAATACTATCATATCAGTTAATCTATCAGATGAAATAATATTGTATTCAAGCACACAACACTCATACAAATTACGTTTCTCTCCATACAACTGTACACATCGACATGCCCCATGCAAATATTGGCGAAAGTTAACAAGCAGTGTTGTATGTCCACATAATACAGCCGACAATAACATGTTATCGGTGTTTCCCAACTTAAACAAACACCACAAATTATAAAGTATCTGCATTCACATTATGAGGATCACTTACTAAACACGGTACACCTGTGCCATAAACTGTGCCCTGCGCTGACACCTCATCTATCCCCTTCTCCCGACGCTACCTCACCTCACCGTCTAATAGACAACAGATAGATAGTAATCTAATCTGTATTGAAACCCGTCGTAAACGGACACCGTTTGTAGAGGCCCCAGCCTTTCCCCCTATCACCCCTGGTGTAAGTGACAGTTGCTTAAGTTTCAGCAAGAGGAGGGAAGGATATAGAGGAATACAGTATGACCGATGACTGTGTGTGCCACTAGAGAAGGGAGATTGTTGTGTCATCGCAGTGGCATATTATTTCATAAATTCTGGACAGTAATATGCATAGAATGGCTCAGACCTGTAGCACAGTTAAGAATACCACCCTAATGTGCGGTAACACATTCTAGTCATAATCCTATGTATTTATATCCTTGCTTAATACACCCTGCGTCGTAACTGAACAGGTAACTGCTTAACCCTATCCCACCCCTCTAGCGCCCAATACTCTGACCCTACTCAACCCCCCCCGCCCCCCCGTATTATCCCGCTACCCACTTACATACCGACTCCAGTCCTCCCCGGACTCCCTCTCTCGCTTGCTCCGAAGGCTTCGAATTCAAGAGACGATACTCCCAGGGTTCACATCACACGGGGAGGATGGATTGAAAACGCTGATGGGTAGCAGTTGGAAGTGAAAGAGGCTGTACAGGTGACCCATAGGTCACACACATGTACAGGGTGACCCATAGGTCACACACACATATACAGTGACCCATAGGTCACACACATGTACAGGGTGATCCATAGGTCACACACACATGTACAGGGTGTCTCAAAGGACACACACACACATGTACAGGGTGTCTCATAGGTCACATACATGTACAGGGTGTCTCATAGGTCAAACACACATGTACAGGGTGTCTCATAGGTCAAACACCCATGTACAGGGTGTCATATAGGACTCACACACGCACACACACATGTACAAGGTGTCTCATAGGTCACACACACATGTACAGGGTGTCACATAGGTCAAACACATATGTACAGGGTGTCACATAGGTCAAACACATATGTACAGGGTGTCTCATAGGTCAGACACACATGTACAGGGTGTCTCATAGGTCACACACACACATGTACAGGGTGTTTCATAGGTCACACACACATGTACAGGGTGTCTCATAGGTCACACACACATGTACAGGGTGTCTCATAGGTCAGACACATATGATGTACAGTAGGGTGGTCCTTATTTTTCAAGTTTGGAATTTTTTACCACAGACCCTGCTAAAAGTGTCCATTTAGGACAAAAACATTGTGTGTAGAGTTATTTTTAAATATATTAATATTTAGAGGTTGCTCAAAGCTGTCAAAAATTAAGTAATCGATGTAGTCAATTACTTTGTAGCCGATTACGCCCACCACTGGTGCGTCGCATTTGGCACGATTGTGGTGAGTTTTTGCTGGTCGTGATTGATGATTGGGGAAATTAGAAACAGTTCTGCAGAGTATTCTCATTATTAATTTATATTAATAGTTAATTTCTTTATTCCTCAGGTCAAAATGGCTAATGCAGGAGTAAAAACACGAGAAAATGTGTATTTGATAAAGACATTATGTGATGACATTACAGGGGCTAAGTTACCTTCAAACAGGCAAGTGTTCCAGTATTTTTTAAGCCTGCACCGCATACAGAAAAAAACCCATCAGAGTGGCAGCTGGGGAAGTCACAGACAAAGTTCTTCAATTTTGGACAAAAGCAAACATTCCCGCACACCACAAACCAGATTGTGTGAATCAAGTGCACAAAATGTTTGACAAGTGGAGTAGTTTGAAAAAGAACTCTTCAAGAAAGACAGAAATTCAAAAGCAGAAAGAGAAAGAGTTCACTGATACATTTGAAGATCTCCTTGACATTGCACATGTGAATGCTTTGAATATGATGACAGTTCAGGAGGATAAGGATTTCTTAATTGCGCAACGAGAAAAAGGGCGTCGTGGGGTAATGTCATCTCTTGACAAAGTATTCCTGAAAAGACAGAAACGACGAGAAAAAACTCTCAAGAAAGCGATGAAAAGGAAGTTGGCTGCAAACAGTGCAGAGGAAGAAGCCAAAAAATGCCAGGCCATAGCTGTCTTGGACAGGAATAGTACGTCTTCTTCTGAGGAATCCAACCCAGTTCCTGGCCCATCAGCACCTCCTGTCAAGAAGCGTGGGCGAAAAGAAGTTCTAACTCCAGAACTTTCTGCAGCATTAGATCGGACGAAGTCCTTAGATAGAATGGCCATGCACATTGTCACCCAAACTGCTCGGAGTCTGGGCCATGATGTCAGTGAATTGATTCTGAATCGATCAAGCATCAGGAGGAAACGTCAGCATTATCGCAGTAGCAGGGCAGCTGAAATCCTTTCAAACTTCAAACCAGAGTCAGTTTTAATTGTTCACTGAGATGGCAAATTGATGTCTGATTTGACGGGGCATGGGGGCCATGTTGACAGACTCCCAGTTCTTGTCTCAGGCAATGGCACCTCCCAACTTCTTGCTGTTCCAAAACTTCCCTCTGGTACCGGTGATGAACAAGCAAAAGCTGTTGTGAAGGCTTTGCAGCAATGGCACATTGCAGACATCGTGCATGGCATGTGTTTTGATACAAGAAGCTCAAATACTGGTCACCAAAAGGGTGCGTGTGTCAAAATTGAGCAGTTGCTGGGTCGTGATTTGCTATATTTTGCCTGCCGCCACCATGTACTAGAACTTGTAGATGGAGCTGCTTTTGAAGCTGTAATGGGGCACTATTGCTGCTCCTGACATACAGCAGTTCCGAAGATTCCAAGCCAAATGGGAACAAATTGACAAGCAGAAGTTTGAAGACTCCTCCACCGACGATCTGGCAGAAGAATCAGTCAGAGCTGATAGGGACGATCTAACCAGCTCCATTGAGAAGGCTCTGTTGGAGACAAAGCAAAATTGAAATTGAAATATTTCATTGACCATAAAACTATTACATCAAAATGACAGTGTAGTATACTACTCCCACCCTCACCTTTGCCATCCATTTCTGGGGCTTACAAAGAGTAATAAATGTTATAACAATACAAGACTTATCTTTACAGCAATGAAATAGTAAATTTTGACATGAACACTGTACATCTTGCACAAAGTTAAAGGTCATACATATCCTTGGAGCAAAATTTTTATTACATTGCAAGAAATATTTTAATCTTTCCATTATAACTCATCCAACAAACTTGTTTCCGTAAAGTAGTGATCTCACTGTTCCTGTATGGTTGGATTTTTTCACATCCTAATACATAATGTAGTAGTGTGTGGGCATCCCTAAGATGACACAGTTGACAAGGTTGACCCGCCCCTCCACTTATCTGCCAGTTATATTTGTATCCTAATCTTAGTCTCATTATAACAGTGTCAACAGATTGTAAGTTAGTCCCGTAAGCTACATTGATGTTTTGTAAAACATACAAATAGTGCTGAAAACTCTCGCTACATATGGCAATCACTTCACTGCTTGCTTTTTCCAATTCTTTTTTTTCATTTCCCTCTTTATCGTTCTAATACTTACATTGCTAACAATATCTATATACATCTCTTCTGCAGCTTTTTTTTGGCAAATTTGTCAGCCATTTCATTTAAATGAATCCCCACATGTGATGAAATCCATATAAACTGCACAGTACATTCCATTTCTTGCATTACTATGACCAATCGTTTACAAATATTAACAATATGAACGTTACATGGATGTTTACAATTTGAATATAAGCATCATATATTTTGCATTAGACATAAAATTTTTAGATATAATGTTTACTCTGAGTAAATATGTTATCTTTTGTGCAAAATATATGACATTTATATTCAAAATATTCCTGGTTTTACAAGGAATCCAGCAGTGTCAATTATATTATCCTAACTTTAATCTGAGGTATTATTTAATACTAAATGTTAAAATTTAGTTTTTTCACCCAACATCTCTTGAAGGGAGGGTTGGTGGAGGGGATGGGTTGGGACGGACTGACCATCTGGCTCGGTTGGAAGAGGGGGGGGAGGCAAGGTGGGGTACTTTGATTGACAGATAGTGTCGTGAACAATATTTTTTTTTTTATTAACTGAAGATATTTGTTTTAGCTCATTAAATTCATACAAATTACCAGGCCAGAATATAATTTACATTGCTGGAATTCTTACAATTTGATGATCATTTTGAATATAAACATCATAGATTTTGCATTAGACATACAAATTTTAGATGTAATGTTTACTCTCAGTAAATATGTTACCTTTTGTGCAAAATATATCACATTTATATTCAAAATATTCCTGGTCTTACAAGGAATCCAGCAATGTCAATTATATTATCCTAACTTTAGTTTGAGGTATTATTTATTACTATACCTGGTTTTCCCCCCAAAATTTCTCAAGATGGAAGAGCCAGCGAGTGTAGTGTGAGAAGAGGGGAAGGGAGTCAGTCCATTATTTGAATGGACATTAACTTGGCGACTGCATTTCTCTATTTCTCTTAAGTATTAATTGTGTGCATGTACCATCATAAAATTAAGATGTTATTTTTACTAGAACATAGGTAATGTGTTGGAAAAGGTGGAGTTTGGGGGTCAGCTGGTCTCTATTTCATTTAATCCCATATGTTATGTTATTCACTTTACGCGTTTCTCACTTTCCGTGGTACCCAGTGGGTTACATTAACCGAGTAAAGTGAGGGTTGACTGTATATATATATAGGCTATATATATATATATATATATATATAAAAATATATATATATATATATATATATATATATATATATATATATATATATATATATATATATATATATATATATATATATATATATATATATATATATATATATATATATATATATATATATATATATATATATATATATATATATATATATATATATATATATATATATATATATATATATATATATATATATATATATATATACAGTGACCCCTCGGTTAACGAACTCAATCCGTTCCAGAAGGTCGTTCAATAACCGAAAAGTTCGTTAAACGAAACCATTGTTTCAATGGGTTTTTGGGTAATTGGTTCCAGCTCACCGAAAATTTCCTAAATTCAACAAAAATGGTAGAAAAGTTCACTTACTTTGAGGTGTGTATGTAGAAGGCTCCTGGATGATGATGATGATGATGGGATTTAGAATGGGGGTGGCGGAGAAGGAAGAAGAGAAGGCATTGGGGTGGAAGAGAAGTCACCCCATGGCGCCATTTCACCCATAAAATTTTAGCTCTCTTGGTGTAATTCAAGATTATTTTCTTTAAATCAACACTGCACTGCATTATATATTGTCAATATGTAAAATATATTTCAAAATGACCAATAACTTGCTTGGAAACACAGAAAAAAAGCGTTTAGTTGAAGAGAGTCTCAAGCCAGATGTTACTTCCAGTGAAAACAAAGAGAGACTAACGCCTGTTTGCTGTGTTAAGAGGCTGGATGCAGCGCATTAAACTAGTCACTTTACCTTCAATTATGTTCAATAATTGTTAAAATGACTAAAAAATTGAATAATAAACTTTTAAAATTATTGAATAGTATAAACTTCTTGATATTTACTAAAATAGTAAGGAATTTAAGCCCTAGAACCGATTAATGTATTGGCGGACTGATACTAAAGCTGGTTGCCCGGTCAGTGCAAGCGAAAACATGTTGAGGTCGGTTCGTAAGAATTTCGTTAACCGAATTTTTGTTTGTTAACCGAATTGAAGATCCTTATGGAAGGCAGTTCATTAACCGAAATTTCGTTAACCGAGGCGTTCGTTAAACTAGGGGTCACTGTATATATACAAACAATATATATACAGTATATATATACAGTATATATATATATATATATATATATATATATATATATATATATATATATATATATATATATATATATATATATATATATATATATATATATATATATATATATATATATATATATATATATATATATATATATATATATATACAGTATATATATATATACTGTATGTATATATATTTATTTTTTTATTTTTTTTTCCTGGTTAGTTGTTGGGTTACCTACAAAACTAATCAAATTTATACCTTTGCATTACTTAACTCTAAGCTGGAACTATAACATGAAATATTTTTGAGTTGTTATAATATTCCCTATTAGAACAAGCACTAAACACCATTGCTAGAGAACTGAACAGTGACAAAAATCTTTAATGAAGAACACCAAGTATAAAATGTAGCCAAACAGAGATGATGGAAGGAAGATGTGTTGACAGGACAAAATCACCTGAGAAGTCACAATGTGGGACACCTCATTTCACATTATGTATTCAAAATTTTGTCCAACTGCCCCTAAAACATCAACTATATGCCGACCTCCAGGAAACTGAAGTCTGAAATTTCAAAGGACTCCTGGACTGTACATATATAACTTACCATCACAGGTTCGCTGGTTAGGATTTAGACGGTAACCTGCAGGACAGAGGCACATGTTACTTCCAAATGTGTTGTGACAGTGATGTTGGCATCGCTCTCTGAAGGCACACTCATCCACATCTGGGAATTCAACAATAACTTTTAATTATAAATATCAGTGAATGTTAAAAATGGAATCTTATTGAAACTTTATTACACATGAGTGATCAATAAAGCGTAAAAGTAGTTATGGTAATGATAATTAAAATGTATATACTGTAATTGGTGATGTTAATGTAATGACCACGGTCTTACACGTCAGTTAACGCCAAAAGCAAATGATTCATATTACGCTCAATAGCCCACAAAACATGTAACTCGGCTTTCGTTTGAGTCCTCCATCTGAGGAGTCCGTTTTCTCATCACTTAAAGACACCTCAGTCCTCCGTTATCCCATTTTCTCTGACTTACTGAAACCAACCTCTCTATATAATGTATTTGAATGTGAGAGAGAACACCCTGGTTTAGAGTCAGCTTAGATATGTCGGTTTACAGTTGAAACATTCAAGATCCATTGTGAGTGGTGTTGAACGCTTCAACTGTCCTTATTGTTGGTAAGACGTGTCAAGTAAGTGAGTGTTGAGTCTGCCAGGACAAACGATACCCATCGGTTTCGTTTCCTAAGAATATCCATGAGTTTCTGATCGCGCCTGAAGTTAGATCATTTTGTCGCCCTGACATCAGAGAATCTGATGTTTATAGTTTAATTAGTGTCAGTTATCTATTTAAGAAAGTCATTAATTTCCTGAACTATTCTGTCAACTGGTATAATCTCCAAGATCTAACGTCTCCCTGTGAATAGCTCCTTGTTCGCCTCAGGCCTGAGCTTGCAGAATTGATGTTATCAACGTGTATATTCCACCTTTTCCTGGCAAGCTCAACCTCTGATTAGATTATATGAATAGACATAGGAAATTACCCTGGTCCGGAACACCGGAGTTCATAATTAAATATACGGTGATCCAACATGGTAGAGAAGGTATGTTGTGGGTAAGATTGAACCTTTCTGGCATCAATATGGAGGCCCAAGCCGCCCAGCGGGGGCACATATATACCTCTACACGAGGGAGAATCACGCATTCGTGACTCTTCTTCCACGTCTACAGGTATGTTCACGTGTGTTCCACGCCGCCATATTAACTCAGTTTGACTTAGTCATTTTTGCGAATATCAGTGTTCATGTTTCAACATAGTACCTTCAGTGCCAATTAAGTCAAGTAAAGTAGAGCTCTAGCTATCGTCTGAACCGGTGCCAGACGTATGTTTTGTATAGTGAAGTTAAATATTCACGCATTCGTGACTCTTCTTCCACGTCTACAGACGCTGTTGTGGGGGTTAGCAACACTCCTGAGGTTCGGGAGCCGCCGATGGGCACGATGTCTCTCGAAAGACGTCTTTAAGGTGGCGAGATTAGAATCCCAGGGCGAGATTCCTTGGCAGACGCCACGGCCCACCGCCACAGTCAACTTTTCCCGGGCCAGGCGCTCCGAGCTAGCGAGCGAGCCTGTAAACAACTCTGGCCCACTGACTCCGTCATATGATCATGGTCTACCCACTGTTCTTGGTTATATGTATGGAGCCGTATTAATATCCATGCTTGGGGATGACTAGCAGAAATATAGTCATCCCAGGTTAATTATTGAACCCCTGAATGAGAGGTCAAGGTACCAGGTGGTTCCTTGTGAAGTGATAAGAATTATGGTATGTTACTAATTGTGGAATTGCCCAGTGTGTTATGTATTCATCTGTAGTACCCATGAAAGAATAACCTGAGAGTATGAGGTTCTAACCACGAATTGAGAAGGTAATTTGTTCCTTGTTAAAGTAAGACCTGCGGGTCCAGGGTTATTGACAGTGTGTAAGCATTGCTAAATCTTACTTGTCACAGAAATACTACAACAGTATCCAATAGAGTAATGAATATTTGGAGGTGTTTAATGAGGTAATAAGTTCTTGAAGTGTTTGATGACTTAATAAGTTAATTTCGGTTCTGTTTAGCCTGAGTGAATCTAAGATGCATCTTCTCCACTCACTGTATTAATAAATACTGAGTTAGTAATCTGAGTATCACCACTCTACTCCTTCTAAACATTGGTTCCCAGAAAATAATACTTACTCACGTGCCTATACATCTACCACACTACCCAAAACCCTTCCATGAGTTCTGTTATATAATGAAAAGTCTGGGTGGTGGCAGCTACCCCTTGTAAGTATAAAAAGTGTTATACAAAGAATAACATGGTTCCCCAGACTAACCCATGTATAAGAAAGACATAAACAAAGTATACTTCAGAAAGGTAAGAACATTGAAACTGAGAATACAATCTATATGAAAGGAAATGAAAAGAAAGAACCTTGACTTGGAAAACATAAGTAGAGAAGCATAAGAGTTACTTATATAAGAATATAAGGTATATAGAGGTAAAGAACATATAAGAATATAAGTAAGAACATATAAGAATAAATATATATGTAAAGAATGGAAGGAGAATAAGTATATTAAACAGGGTACTCATTGGAGGAATGCTACACAGAACAAATAAGTGTGTGAGTAAATAGAATACTAACAGAAAACAGTAGCTGGATGGTAAATTATTGAAAAGAGAAAACTCGGCCCGTTACAGTAATACATCATACTTCTCACACTAGTTGGGATTAATGGGATCAAAAATGAGAATGTGTTTTAAGTGTTAATGGTGTACCGTGTATACTGTAAGTAGGGGGAGTGATCATGACTGCAGATGCTTTATGATGGCAATGATGAGAGGAGTTGTATTGTAATGGTAAAAATTATAATCAAGGTTAATGCCAATGGGTAATGTTGTTATGATTGTAATGAAATGTTTAGAGGAACAGACTTGGTGTTATAGCTGAGAACTGGCACTTAAGTCGTCCCCACAGTTGAACCATTTCTTACATTATCCATTTCATTACATTTTTTATTAAATGCTCCCATTGTAATTTATAATAGGATGAAGTTACTTCACAAAAATAACCTAATTTGTGTTGGATATCACGACAATGTACTGTACAGTGTAGCAAGGATAGAGGTTACTGCTTAGCTTGGTGTACAATTTAACACATGGCGTGGGTTTGTATTGGCCATCACAGCAACACAGCACTAGTAAGTGGAGTGTTTAGCAGTTAGCTTGTTATATGATCTCTTTTTTACCTTTGCATTCTCCATTCTTGTATTCAAAGCCTTTCGGAGAGCTAGACTGGATGTAGAACTTATGAAGGAGTTTCTCCTGGAACGCTGTGGTTGGGTAGCCAGGGTAGACAGGTCTCGGGCGACTAGGGGGGAGTGGGTAGCGGCACGAAGCTCCTCTATGTACTGTAGCCCTGCAAGACACAACACCCTCCAACTAGTAACATTAATGATCATTGATGCTTCACTCTCTATTTATTTATTTTTGCAAGAAATAAAACATTAAACTGGGTGTTTTGTATAATGAGGAAGCAGTGTTATACTTAAATTTCTACCACAAAGATCATATGTTTTAGACATTTTAAGTCAAAATGAGAACATAAAGCTTTAAAAATTTTATTTTATACTCACTGAACGCTTCTTTAAATTATGCATTCCAAAATTGGATTACAGTAACTAGAGGAACTAAGTGTTTTGCTCACGCTTGCAAAAAACAACTAAAATCCACAAATGAAACAAGTAAAACTACACCACGAGGTACTGGACAAACATTACGCTTCTAAGCTGCTATAAACAAATGTACAAAAAAAAACCCACAAACGCGCACCAACACAGGATTTCCCATCAGGCAGTCTTTGTTGTCCAAGAGCGCAGATACATTGGTAGGTCCCTCGTAGGTTACGACACTGGAAGTTACAAGGTGATGGGCTCGCCAGACACTCATTCACAACTACCAACAGTCAACACCAAGCAAGTGTCACATCATTATCAGGTTTACAACAGTAATGGTACTAAAATGAAGAAAATGATAATATTAGAGTTAAATGATTTCTTTTTTAAGCTAATATTCCTTTCCAGGCAACGACGGAGAGTGGTTGAGCAGATACTGACCTTCTGGAATTCTTAGTATTCTGGAGACAGTGGTTTACCTCACTTCATAACCCCTGTCAGGATGCAGGTCTGATGATCTGTTTTACTAATGACAAACACACTCACTATCACACACCCTTTGATTGTTACTATCACACACCCTTTTATTGTAGAGTGTACAAGGAGATCAAGCACATACAAAGCAATGGTGTTAAACAGAAAACAACTGTAATATTAGCTTGTGAATGTTTTACTCAAGTGATAGCCAACTAACATTTCAGGAAATGCTTTGAGAATTTCTACTGCATATTCTATCCCTTGAAAGAATATGAGAAACTAATATAATTGCATTAACTTGGTCTGTTCCTCCCTTGGTGTGATGAGTGATTCACTGCTCCTGTATACTTCTCCACAGAATGTATTAAATCTTTTCACTAATGACTGAGGATCTTTGCATCTTCTTCTGTTCTGTCTCCTAACATAGCTTTTCTTTCAGTTTAAACCTTCAGGAGCTGATGAATACTCCCAGAAAACTATGATTTTGTTAGGTATCTGTACATCAACTAGAAATTACAGCAAACTCTTATTAATACTTCCTTTTATATTCATTTAATCATAAGTGTGGTATTTTTTCCTATGAAGAACAGAAATATGCTATAATACCTGTGTCAATGGGAAGGAAAAAATTCATGTTATTTATGGTGTTCAGTGTAATCATATATAAAAATAATTACAATAAACAAGCTCAAATTAAAATGTGAACCTCTACTGGAAAACCCCCCAGATTTTTTAACTAAAGTAAATACAGGTATGGCATTTATTATATACATCTAAAAAAAAGGGATTTATCGTGAAAAAAGTATTCAGAGTTGAGAGAGGTGAAAACATACCAAGGCACGGCTGTCCTGATCCTGAAGAACTGAATCCCTGACTACACGAGCAGCGGTAAGAGCACCAAGTGTTTGCACAGGTCTGGGTGTAGTGGCATCCAGAGATTTCTTCAGAGCACTCGTCAATATCTGGAGACATAGAAAACAAATTTAGTAAGAAGTCCAAAACGTATGCCAATATCCCCCAAGGAGGTGGTGTTAAGTCCCTTGCTCTTTAATATACTGATGCAGCACAAGCTTGTTGTTGACATCCCAGTGTAACCCACTGAAGTTGTAATAGGTAGTTGAAGGTCACAGCTACAGTATCCAAATCTAGGAAAGTATATCAGTGCAGTAAATTATACAGTAAGTAGCTATTATACATGTTTGTGCAAATATGATACTGGTTTTATTTTACAAGAAATGAACAAGATATTTACAGACCTGTACACGTGCCATTACTGGCCTGGGTAAGACCAGTGGGACAGTGGGTGATGCAGGTATAAGAACCCTTAGTGTTGCGGCACTCTTGCCCCTCCAGACTGTCATGGATGTACGAGGCACACTCATTGATGTCTGCAAAACACATACAATACTGTGCTGTACTTATCTTAGTGAAATATAGATGTAATTTTATTGATATATCCCAATTCTACATAAAATCAGAGGTGCTTGCTTATATACAAATAGTTTATTTATTTGCATACAATTACAGCAAGGTCTCATACAACTCAAGTATATCCAGAGAGGATTTGATTATACAGTATAGTACAGCACAGTACACATTTAAATAAATATGACTAATTATGCACCAAATGCTGACTAAATTTCATTAGGAGCACATTAGCGTGGCCACTCAGCATCCCCGACCACATGCTTACTGCTGCTCCCTTCTCAAACATTGGTCACATCTGCCCACCAGCCTTGTCTAGTGACTCGGTTTGTTTACAACACCTTAACCACACTATGTCATCTCACCATCAACAGTCTGCTGGTGGTGGTGTTGTGTAGAAAATAGTAAATTTGGATAAGAAATGAGAGGGTCACTCTCAGGCATACCAGTTACAGTGTCAATGAATCGACCATTTGCATTATTTGTGTGTGTGTGAGACGATTCATGCCAGTCTTAAAATTCATTTCAGTATAACAACAATCTACCTACTGTATGCAGTTTCCAGGTGGAGAGGATGAAAATCTGCGACTCACCTTTGCAGCGACCATTAGGTAGGAGAGTGTGCCCTTCAGGACATGTACATCTGAAGGAGCCCACCGTATTTTCACATCCATGGGTACATGGGGGATGGAACTGGAAGCACTCATCAATATCTGGAAGGAACACTATGTCAATGAATGTGGGTCCCGTGGCTTGATGGCATGTTACTATACAGCTCACTGTATACTAAGCTGTTGGTGCACAAGGAGGCAGTGTTACTGGCACTGCACTAGACTGCCTACAATTCCCCAACAGTAAAGTTAGGCACCCATTTACAACCCTTTGGAAATGTGGTGAGTGATGTATCCACTTACACACTGCACACCTTTGATATAAATTACTGTGTTATACCTAATTGTGTATATTTGGCATGGGTGATTCTATGCATACAGTCACAAACAGGAAAACTTATGTACTGTACTGTATACAGAGAAAAGAGTATAAAAATTTAATAAAAAAAATCCTTTGCTGAAATTACTCTTCCTTGCATGTCATAATGCTCTAAAACTTTCAAAGCTAGTTTGTATTTACATGCAAGAACATAAAAACATACATGCACTCACCCAGACAGCGACTCTGGCCAACGAGCCTGAAGCCCCGGCGACAATCACATCGGTATCCACCAATAAGATTAAGGCATGTCTGGTCACAAACATCTGGCTGCTGCTGGCACTCATTGATATCTATTAAGGCAAAAAAGAACCTGATAATTATTACAAGTAGAGTTTGTCTATTGTAAGAGAGCTTGTCCTGATTATCAAGACCATTCTATACTATATTGGTAGGAGAAGCCAGACATTATTTTCTGCTGAGACCGGCACTTCTCACCTACATTGATCAGGCTCAAATGAACACCATTTAAACAAGTAGTTGACTCAAAATCCAGTGAATTCCCGATCATTGGCCGATACACCACAAACTTTCTTTGCAGTAACTTTAAGTTCAAAGGTGAATCTTACTTGTTGCCAATGTACCAAACTGTCTGTTCTGGTTCCTCTGCTCTCACATAAGTGTTCTGATTACCCGGCATCTTATTAAGGATTTTTAAGGAAGATAAGTGTTAAGACTCCTACCATATAGTTTGAAGAGATTCCCACCATAAAATAATTGAAAGAGGCACATTTTAGTGCAGATATAAGTTGTTGTTAAATCACCAGGATAGAATTAAACGAGGAGAGAAGAGGATAACTAACCCTCACAGGCCGTGCCCGAAGACGTCCTGTGTAGACCATGACGACAGGTATAGGTGCAGTTGTAGGAGCCAGGGGTATTGTCACACTGCTATCGTGATCCACACACATTAACCATGGAACACTCGTCTACATCTGTAATGTACCGGGTAAACTGAAGTCAAACTCTCTATCATAAAGTGGAAAACCTGGGCATGGTGGAGAGACATCGTTACAGAAGAGAAAGACTGACAGACAGTATGCAGAAAAAAATAACGAACAAGTAATATATATACTGTACCAGGAAAAAGGAAAGTGCTTAAACAAATCTTTTATGTACTTTGTCACTTCACTTACCGAGGTTTATGAAAATATATATTAATTGTTAATATTCAATAAAAGCAACTAAAAGACAAGCCATGAGAAGGTTCAGTGAGATCAAACATTAATAAAGATGAAAAGAATGGTTGTGTCAAACTGAAAAAGAAAACTCATCTGGGCAGTTACATTCAGTTTCATGTCTTTGATGCGAACTCTCAGAATACTCATTTTGATATTAAGAAGAGATTGATGTCGAGTGACTGACTTTGACACATATAACCATCAGGACCCAGTGTGTAGCCCGGGGTGCAGGTGCAGAAGTAGCTGCCGACAGTGTTGGTGCAGCCGTGGGAACAACGACTGGTGGACGTCACACATTCGTCATTATCTCGACAATATGGTCCCGATTTATCCAATGTGAATCCCGAAGGACACGAATCTCTCGGTGACCCCGGAGATATGTTGGTCGACACTATGAGGTTAAGTTCAGCTTGGCTGTTCCTGCAATAATTTAAAAAACACATCAGTCAAATTTGGAATTTCAATCATTTAACACATGAATATTCCTCAAGACATGCAAAGAATTATAAATGTAACTACGGCAGATAATAAATTTAAAAAAGTTTACTGAACCAAATTACAGTACATTTAGTAACCATAGTCTAATGAATTAGTCTTTATTCTTTGGGAAACTTCATGATCTATCTATACTGCGTATAAGGAAAAGAATAAACCTTGAAATTAGTAAGCTCCACATGCATACAATTCCACATGCTTCCTTGTGTATGTAATTTCAAAATAACATGCGAATACAACCTGTAAAATTATCCTAATCCATCAGCACACAGCGTCTCCACGAGGTAAAGCATCCTACCCAGCTGAGCATCATAAGAAATAGTTCCAAGCATAAAGCAGACGGTACTCCCCGACAGAGAAGGTACGAAAGGATGTAGCAAACAGAGAGCCGCCACCTGTCTATACCTAGTTCTCTAAGGATAAAGGATATTCACATTGAAATTAAGAATGATTTACGGCAATGTCAATAAATATTTCTTAACCCTTAAACGACAGCCATTATGGGTGGATGCTAGCTGTAAGGACAACGGTTAACTTCAATGGATATTTCACGTTCCTCTTGTTTTGTTTTTTTTGTTTTTTTTGGCACATGGGAATCCCTAGCTGCCATTTAAGGGCTAAGAGATTCATTTCGATTTCTCTGATTAAAATCCAAGAATCTGTATACTGTATTCGCAAGGCACTTATACCATCATCACACCGACTCTGGCAAGGTAATGCAGGTATACCAAGAGGATTTTGTTTCATACTATCATTGTTGCATAGTAATACAGTACAGTGTCTTGCAATTTTGGATAGAGATTTAATTCCAGCTAATCCTCACTGTTTTGATGTCGAGTAAATTGAGTTTCTACAAATTATACAGGACAGATGAGAAGTTGGTGGGGAGACTTGATTGCATCTACAGAATTTGATCTTCCTGTCCTGATACATTTATGAGAGTTCTTACGTGTTTCTGCCGACTTGATGCAATGTGCTGCGTTTTTGTCATGTGATTAGTGACAGAAACTATTAATGTTCCTGAAAGGTTATAAGCATTAAAAAGTATATTCACATATGAAATGAACAGAAAAAATTAAAAAGAGGCATCTTGAAGTGACAGCCCCAAACATTCATCATTGTAAGGTTGAAGGGTGATGACTGAACCTGGTGGCAGGTAAGGAACATCACCAGTGACTTCCACCTTCACCAGCAAGACCCCGTTTGAGTCAACACCACGGACCACCTGAGTCATGTTCACAGTCTCACCTACAAGAAAGAAGAACATGATGTGATATATAACAAAATATCTCCTGCACTGATAACAAAAGGGACTTCTTTAACTCTGTAAAATTTATAACAAAATATCTCCTGCACTGATAACAAAAGGGACTTCTTTAATTCCGTAAAATGATATAATGTGCAAGATTTCCACCATATACTGTACAGGAAGCTCCAACTTAATGAGTTTGTTAGATGAACTCTTTTTCAATGGGACCCACTTTCCCACTGGATCTGATGTTAAAATCTACGATGCATACCAGCCAAAAGATATTTGACCTAAAACCCCCATGATACAAACTTGGAAGCACTCCAACCCAAAGACTTTTGACACTCCAGTCGTTCACTAGTGTGGTGCATGCACATGAACACCACTACACATGGCAAACTCTACCATAATAAAAACTGAGATAAGTTCCTTAAAATAAAAAAGGAAAAAGATTCCTCCAAACATTAAAATACTACAATACAGGTACATGTTTTTACTGACAATTTTTGGTTTACTTAATGATTATAAGCATAGTACAGTACTGTCAGTGACATGCATGCAGTACAGTAATACTTACAAGAGATTGTAGTGCTCAAAACTTACTGAGAACCTACACCACTAGTTGTGATGCAGTGTGAGGATGACAAATGTTTTTCACAACTCAAAAAACCTAAGTCTTCGATAACTAAAAGTCCAGAGAGAAAAAGGTTTATATTCCTGTACGTACCAGTAGCAAATGCAACATGGGCCTCTCGACGGAAGAATCCCTTGGTAAGAGTGTGTCCATTTGCTGCTCCATTAACCTCATAGGCTGAAGTCCAGTACACAGGTGACACCACTGACAGGAGGGGAGTCAGCCATGTTCCCTGTAAGGTGCCAACAAACTTCTTGAAACGCACAAGTAACAGGGATATGATTGAAAAAATAATATATACTGTACTACCTATATACAGCTGTCTCAGGTTATTTCATTTTTTTTTTTTTGCGGCTAACTAAATTACCACCATTTCCTATATACAGTACTGTGAGATTTTTTTAATTTTGCGAGAAATGCCAACCTGAGTGTTTTAAATCAACCACCGCAACACTAAATCTACTGTGCAACTTCCCCAACTGCAGACACAACATAACTACTCAGTCAGTGCCCACTAAAGTCAAGAACACTTGCTCTTACTCCCACAGTTTCCCTAGAGTTCACTCCATGTACCACTTACCAAGATGTCTAAACACTCAACACCTGCTTCTCCTTCTAGCTTAAGTGTGAAAAAGAAGAGAAAGATATTTAATTTAGAACTGAAGTTTAACATTTTGGATGAGCCTGACCGTGAAGTGAGTCAGTTGTGGCACACTGAAACAGGGTAAATGAAAGCATACTGTAATGTATAGCATCAGACTGAAGGTTGACAAGATTTTTGCAGCATATACACAACCATCCAAATCCAGAATGTGATATATTGTGCTTTTTACCCCAAATTTCTGTCACTGTACAGTTCTCTGTGTATCAGTACTCTGTACATTTCTTGCTAAATTGAAATTGTTTTCAAACAAGATATATTAATTATCATTTACATATATGTAATTTGTTTATAATTCATGTGTATTACTGAATATAAAACAAGACTTAACAATATTAAGCTGACCAAAGTGTTAATCTATATATTCTAAACTGAGAGGGACAAAAACGGTAAATCAGAGACTCCTACATGTTTAGGTTTAAGAGGACTAATGTTAGCTGATACAGTTCCCTGCATCCCAAGTGTGGTGACATTAGCAGACAACCCGACAATCCCGAGGTCTTCCCCGTTGATGTTCCCTGTGAGCCACCACAGGCAACACCTCACACGCGTCTCCCTCACATTTCTCAATCTGATGGTCAATGAAGGTAACAGAAGTGTAGAACATTATTTTACCTAAACACTACTTAATATAATATCTCATACAAAAGGACTATAATTTCTTATCATTATTAACATATCAAAAAATTACAATCACTAAATACAGTTGTGGACAAAAGGAATTCAGCAGGAAGGTAGTGAGATGGTGTATGGGAGGGTAGAGGGGGAAACGTGTCAACATAGCACAGGGGTGGAGGTGAAAAGTCTCTTAAAACATTCAACACTTATGGCATTTTTGTGGTTGTTTTGGTGTTAAGTACGGATTTATTTTCAGCACATTGTTAGTGTGAGCTGCACCTGCCTCGCAATTGAACTAAAAAAATAAATTGGTGGTATGAAAGGAAAATCACTTTCGTTTAACCATCACTGTCTCTATACGATGATGACAAGTCTACACCTACCCCTACCCTCCCATACATCACCTCCTTCTCTCCCTCACTGCCTGCTGAATTCTTTTTGTCCACAACTGTACATAGAAAATGGGAAACTGAAACATCTTATTAATACATACCTGCCGTTCTTCTCCCTGACAGGAAAACCCACCGAACCTCGGATAGGGAGCGCTGCACCTTCTGTTCTTCACCCTAACTCCTATCCCACACGTCATGCTACAGCCCGTCCACTCACTCCAAGATCCTAAGACACCATTTACTGCAATGATTCTAATATTATGCAGGGTGAAATATATAAAGGCATTCACACACCTCTGTATAATATTGATAGATCCTTTCCAATCACTGACCACGATTTCAGTTCCAGTTAGATACCTTTGTTAGATGGTAAGCCCTAGATGAGAAGGGATATTATAGCCCAAGAAACTAACATGACTGGTATCCATTTTAGCACACACCAGAACTAAACAAGGCCCAAACAGATTCATTTTAAATTTCTATAAAGTTTTTAAATAATAATGAGGCTACCTGGACATTTCTCAACATTACAGGCCTCAGTGTCAGTGTCTGGACCTGTACACACTCGACCGTCCAGGGAGGGGGAGGGGTTATCACATGTTCGGAACCTTCGTCGTTGGCCGCCCCCGCATGTTGCTGTGCACGACCCCCAGGACCTACCAAGTTGACCAACCACCTGTGCAATAAAGTATGGTACCTTCTTTTTACTAAATATTTTCAAAGCAAATTCTAATCTGATTATATTATCTATCAGCCTTCTACACTAGCTTGACACATTCCAAACTCTGTACCATAATACAGTCCATAGATTATCATCTTCAAACACTGATCCAATTATTGTCACATTTTATCACTTGGTCATACAATACTTTCAAAACTGACAATATTCAACATGAAACCAAAAAAATGAAATGTTCTTGGGTTTTAAACTTCTGAAATGGTGTACAAGGTAACACGTGGGAACCGAGTTTGATGAGTGTGTGTGAGTTAAGTATATGAGCAAAAAGATGTCGTTCCACCGAAAGAAAAAGCCATTTCTTCACAAAAAGGTTACAGTATGGGGTTTCTGAGTAAAGATACTGTACTATGGAACACATA